CTAGAGTTAACCTCTCTCCTGCCCCTCTAAGTGGCAAACTCAACCCAAGGCTGCCCCGCAGCATCACGCTATGCTCACAAGAGGCCCTTGAAAAGTAACTTGCTAAAGTAGCCAGGGCTCTGGGAAAGGTGAAGGTTTGGAGGCAGAAAATCAGGCAGGAATCCCAGCTCCTATGTGACTTTCCTGGGAGAACTTCAACTCTCTAAGCCTCAGGTTTCTCATCTGGAAAATGAGGACTGAAAAATGTCGAGCTGACATGGTTGCTATGAAGGACAGATGAGCCAAAATGTGTGAAAGACCTTTTGTTATAAACTAAAAAATGCTATTTTAAAGGATTATTATTTTCATATTCTCAAATCCAAACCTGCTGACGCTTCAACTTTCCTATACCTAAGCCTCAAGAGACTAGCTCATCCCACAGAGCTTCTTAGCCCCCAATAATCCACCAAAACCCATATTCTTAAGTGTCCATCCTAAATAAAAAGCCAACAGCCTAGAATTCACAGCATCCATGGAAGATAAACCTCACTCCAGCTCAGGGGCCACAAAATCTCCTATCCTCAGATCTCAGCCCTCTTGGACACAGCTTAAGGAAGCCCACACCTTAAACCTGCTCCAACTGTGTTTGGCCAGGCATCATTTCTAGTTTGCGGTCCAATTTCTATGGGAAGTGAAAACGGGGAAAGACCACCAAGGTGGGTGTGGTTGTATGTGTGGAGAGGGAAGGGGAAGTCTTGGTAGTAGAATTAAAGACTCTGCTGGAATTTTTTTTTTTGATTCTGCTTGAATTCTGTGTCCAACAGTTGCTAAATGTACTGTAATTATCACATTTGTGTGAAAATTCAAAGATCTGCATTCTGCTATTTCCATGGGACTCATGAATTGCAGGCGCCGAAGAAAAATGGTAAAAAGTTGGGGTTCAAAGTCTTGTACCCAGGAACCAGTCTCAGTAAGCAACCCCATAGAAATGAAATCCCTGACAAAGCTGCTGTGGGCCCCAGGCCCCTACTCTGGGCCCAGCCAGCCCCCTTCTCCAGCCCTCATTCCTTCTCCAGCCCCCGCTCTTCCCCATTAAGGCCATTTTGGCATCACAGCCGTCAGGGTCTGTCACAGTGAATTGTTTCTACGTGATTTTTCCCCCTGGGAATCTGCTTTGTCTCTGTGAAAGACCCCCAAACCAGGCGCCTTATATACACTTGAGACAGGCAGATTTTAAGGGGAAAGCCGCGAAAGGAGAGAGCAGGCCTGGAGGGGTTCCTGACGCCCGCTGAGGGCGGGAGGGGGTCCGAGGCTCCCCAGCACCCATCTCCCCGGGGCGTCCCCCAGGCTCTGGAGTTGTCCCCCGCAGCCACCACGCTCCTGTCCCGACGACGGGCCCTTCGCAGGCCTCAGAGCCCAGGGACTGATCTCGCGACCGGAAATGCCCCCCTGACCGCGCCCCCCGTTCCTGCCGCCCCCTCCCCTGGGCCGGCCGCAGGCCCCGGATCCCCGGGCTCG